GTTCTTGAATCCAAAGGTATTCAGTGAATCATTTTAATGTTCACAAAACAATTCATTCATCAGCTAGAGATCCATCTTGAAGAGACGATCGGAAACAAAAGTTATCCAAAACATTGCTTTAATAAGGTTTTTAATCTTTGGAAGATCAGGATTACAGTGTGCTATTGGGGTACTTAATCTGATAAATCCTTTTTGGGAAACAAAAGATTGATTACAATAAAGGATTTACCAAATTTCTATTGAGGAGGAGTCGGGTGTAGCAATAAATTATGAAATCGTGTCTTTTTGTAAGTGTCCAAGACTTAATATTTAGGAAAGCACAGAAAGCCATAATGTTGTCTTGTGGAAGTTTACCCAAAAATTGATCTTCTACAATCTCAATGAAAATTTCTGGCAGATAAAATCCTTTGGAGAATCAAAGCTTGCCGTAAAGAAAATATATTTTGTAAACATATATGACATAAATGTAACATTATTTTGACAGTCCGTTTAGTCCAAATTTTCGTTCGTTTTTCTGGTCATGTTTGCATACACCGCATTACCGTTTTCATTGGCTCCTCAGATTTCGTTTGCCCTCTTTTTCCTATCCATTTTGTTCGCGACCGCTGCGGGTGTAACAGCATTCCTGCTGCTGGCGTCCGGTAATTTGCAAAATTTGCAGGACCAATTCGATCATCGCAAAAAATCCCATACATTGCCAATCGTAGCTGACAATGGCGAAATACTGGCGACCAAAGACGAACTTCTATTCCACATAGACATTTTAGAGACCAAACTCAAGAACAAAGCAGCCGAATTGGAAGCATGGAAAGGGAAACTCAACAAAGCTGAGATGGAAATGCAAAAGTTGAACAATGCCTCTGGAGAAGTTAGAAGGTGAGCATTAGATCAATTACACAGGTCAACGAAATTCAGTATGGAAAAGGAAAAGGCCAATATCGTTCATCTGTGTTCCTAACATTTTGTGGCATACTTAACCATGACCATTATTTGACCTTATTAACCTTATTGAGGCTAATCATCCGAAAGAAATCTAGTGAATTGCGAGTTTAGTTGATACCTTTTTTGAAATATTCTGATTTTTCCTTGTGGGAAACTTTTTGACTGTTACCACATCAGATCGCATAGATGTTGACCTTTGCTCCTTAATAGGAACAAATACTGTACTTGGATCTTGAACTATAAACTAGGTTATGTCAGTTTCTGATAGGTAGGGAATGGTAGGATTCCAAAGGTCTTGACCTAAACATTCCCAAAAGGTATCACTAGATCCCCAATTCAATGAATCCTTTTCGGGGGATTTACCAAAATTAAATTATCTTTAGACATTACATGAAGCTGAAAACGGATGTTGCTAAGACAGAAGATGATTGCAAAGAGATCCAAAATCAAATCGATGAATTTAGACGACGACAAGCTGAAATATGTCCAGAATCAGCAGACAGAAGAGGACATTCCTGCTCCGTATTAAGTGGTTCCAAAGGAATGAGCAAAATAAGAAGCGACACTCCTCCCGAAGCTTATGGTAAGGGTAACATATTTTAATCGAATCAGAAAAATGACGTTAGAAATATTAAATTTTGCGTTTGTACAATTGTCTTGTGAATAATGGAACTGTCCCAAAATAAATGTGCCCGTGTATTATTTGTAAGTTGTATGTTATAATATATGTAATCGATTCATGAAATTGTTTTCTTTTAAACATT